AAAATTTTCAACTTTCAGCACTAACTTCTTAAATCAATTATATCAGTTATATCAGTTAGTTTTTGAGAGCAGGGCTCAATGGTGTATATCAGCCTTTATGTGTTTAGCATCCTGGCGTTCTTTGATTTCATGTTTTGTTTTTTTGTTTTTGTATGTGCATTAACACTTACTTACTTAAAAGTTCAAAATAAAGATTTGATTGATTGATTAATGATAATAGGGAAGACTATTGCCAAAAAAGCCGATCAAAAATTTGGGTTGCAAAGTGTGATTTCAAGTATTTAGGTAGCAAAAGACTCTCTGAGGAATCAGAGATGTAATATTATCTCTGGACAAGTGACTAACAAGTGAGAAAGAGAAGACATGCGACTTCTGATGCAAAATGTATGGCAGCAAGTGCTCAGCATTTTATTTTCCTTGGCATCAAACTGTGAACAATCTTAGTTTTGTGCTTATCATTAAAGGTGAATCAGTCTGGAGCAGTAGCTCAGTTTACTTCATGCTTTTGTTGAGAGCACCAGATGTTTGGACACATTATTCATCAAAAATTCATGTTTTTGTGTAAAAATCTCTGCACTGTTTGTCAATGTATCAGCTTTCACGGTGCTCTGGACTAGTCGCTTGGCAGCAAGTGAGCAAAACAACAGCAGTTTTGTAACACCTACCATGCACTTCCAAATGGTAGCAAAAACCACAATGTCTTTCTCAGTTGTGGTTATTTTTTTACCAATCACAACATGTTATTTTTCACCACATCCAAGCTCATCGTTTATCAAAAAAACCTAGAAACTGCTGCGCCCAGTTATGCAAGTTGCGATCACAGTTCAACATTAATCAATGAACCTTGAAAGTATGAATATTATATATGCATCAAGCGTGAGTCAGGTAAACTGTATCTCAAACCAGCATTTAAGAAGCAATAGCTACGCTGTAAAAAATACTGTTGTTACATTGAGACAGCAAGAGGGGTATCACATTTACAAAGGACCTCCTGGCCTACACTGGGTGGTTATTGGCTGGCTGAGGAAGGGGTTGTCAGCTGATCCAGCTCGCCTTGGCCTTCCAGGCTATAAAAGCTGGTTCGGAAGAACTACTAACTTCCACTTAACCTGGCATCAACCTTCCAGTAACAACAAATTTTCTTATTTGAGTAAACTTCTTGTGTGGACTCCCTCTCTGTCACATACCTTGAGCCAATTTGTGACATCGTGCCAAAGTTTCTACTTTTTCTTGAGAAAATAAACACAATGTCTGAAATATGATGGAAAGGAACTATTTTTAACCCAACATTGTGCATGTTGTCTTCCTTCTCTCACCCCAACCAGTCGCAGCAGATGGCCCCGCCCCTCCCTGAGCCTGGTTCTGCCGGAGGTTTCTTCCTGTTAAAAGGGAGTTTTTCCTTCCCACTGTCGCCAAAGTGCTGCTCATAGGGGGTCATATGATTGTTGGGTTTTTCTCTGTATCTATGAAGCGCCTTGAGGCGACTTTTGTTGTGATTTGGCGCTATATAAATAAAATTGAATTGAATTGAATGTTACCATATATTGTTTTGCTGAGCTTGGAAAAACCAAAAAAATCTAGTCACACTAGTCAAGTTATGTAATCTGGGACGTCACTTGGGATCGAGTGGTTCTCTAAGACGCAGTAGGTAAATCTACGATCCTAGAAATCGATGGTTTGGATCTGGGTTGCTTTGATTTGGAAAATGATGACATGCAAAGTAAAGTACAAACAACTTTTTTCAATTCAGCATTTCGTCATTCATCACAACATTTCAGTACATAGAGGACAAGACCAGAAGATCTCCTGTTTAAGGATGTGGCCACTCCATGTTTGGGTATGTGTTGAACTTTAATTAAAAAACATTCCCCCAGTATACCGATACTCTACTCCAAAGGTATCTCACCTGAACCTTTTTGGGAACCATCCAGTGTTTCAAAGACTTGACTGTAGTACCATTGGGCAGAACCACCGGGTCATGTAGGTCCAAGTCTACAGCCATAATGCATGTTGGGTAGCATTCAGCACCTAAAAAAAAGACCCAACGCAAATGAAATAACAATAATCCTAATTCAGAACATTTTCTTTCATGTATTGTCTGACTTAAAGAAATTGTATGTGTTCCACATATTTATCTAATCTTTACTCTTAATTTTCTCAGCATTTTTAAAATGAGAAACACAATAATGTTGCGGTCTAAGAATTCAAATAAAGTAGAAAAAATGTAGTGTCCATCCAGATAAGCCAAAACGGATATATATGGTTTCATTTAGTTTCACAGAAAGGTCACACTCACCAACATCCATCCCATGGTCACAGCTGTACTCCACAGAGTTGAGATCTGGAGGAGCAGAACAAGATCCCTGGAGATTGGGACACATGACAAATTCTGCTGTCCATTCTCCATCCTTAGTGCAGCGAATTTCAATCTGGAAACAAATACAGGCATTAAAATCCACAATGGAAAGTCTACACTTGTCCCAGTTTGGGCATTTTTGCATGAATCTCACTATAGCAACAAAATACTTGGTGGAAATACAGGTTCATGGCTGTTTGTAGGAATTTGTAGAAGAAACAAAACTGTATGTGAAATCTGAATTTCAGATATTCCACAGAGCCGAATCCTAGGAGCGAAAATGATGTGAGCTTCACCAATCCAAATCAGGATGTTGTAGTGATCTAGTGGGCGATTGTGGCTCAAGAGTTGGCAGTTCGTCTTGTA